ATTTCTCATGTCCACATATGAATGGATGACATTTGAATAATTGGATGAGAAGAGATAAAGCTGTGATAAACTGATTGTATGGGACATCAATGAGTGTGTTAGGAGGGGGGTGGGGAGGGGATAAGGAACAATTCCGAAAAGGATGAGACACCAATAAAGAAACGAACCGAAACAAAGACAAAAAGAAGAAACAATCCGTAAAAATTGGAAACTTTGAATCTGCACTTTTTGAACATCCAAATACGGCTATGATGAGATAGATGAAGTCTCTATCAGGGTCGTTTGATGTTGAAAAAAAATGACAAAAACTGGTATAACGGAAAACCGGAAAAGAAGTACATCGTCTTGATCTATTTTTTTCGTCAAAAATAGAATCTCGACAGCTTATTTGGGAAGATTCATTAAGCTTCTTGAAAATGATAATGGGACAGACAAAAAAAAAAGATTTTAAAGAAAGATATGAAGCGAAGATAACGAAACGAGATGTGAGGAAGCTAAGCAAGTTATGAAAACGAAAAAGATGAAGAAGACGAAAAAGCTTAAATGGACAGTAGCAGAAACTGTCAGAAAATTTTGTGCTCACAGGGAATTAGTGTAAGTGAGTGGTGAGCACGCGAAAAGCGAGTGTGTGATTCGTGAGCAAATAGAAAGGGAATAGCCTTCAAGCGAGACCTGCAGTAAGACGGCGATTGTCAACCCACGATCTGCTCTTTAGTACAAGCTAATTATCATAAGAGAGTGCGAGAGAGAGAAATAAAGAGAGAGCCGATTATTAATTTCTGGATTAAAAAAAAATAGTCACAGGTTGATGGGAGAAAAAGGCAAAGACTGTTCGAGTATCTCAACATCCAATCTGTCTTTTCAATCTAATTTCCATCATCATTGTCATTATCGTCGTTATATAAAGCTAGAAGTCTCGTAGATAGTGCGAGAGATGGATAAATGCCCCGAGGGGAGCAAATGCTTGTGGTCAGATGAAAGAAATGATGGGGAAAAGATGGAGAGATGAGAAGGATGAGAGATGTCCCCTGTCGTTCTTTAGAACAAAGTGGACAGCAATGAACGGGAAAAGCAGAGAAGATAATACGAGATGTTATTACTATCAATACATACAAGTTAATCAATACATAGCCTAAGGGCCATGTCATCCGACAGGGCACGAATTCAATAATCTTTAAGCTTATCCGGTTCTTTTCTAAATCCGCTTTTTGAAATCATGAATATCAGTTTAGGCTTGAATACGAGATTTACGACAACTACAAACTGATCACGATAAAGAAACATACGAAAAAAAACACGAAAAGACACCTCTTCCAAAAGCTACTAAGGGATTAGAAACGGAAGATGCTGAATGACCACAACTTTCAGTGTTCAGTCAGAACACCCTGAGGCTATGGGACGGGCAGAAAGAGAGAAGAAGAGTATCTATTCTCTTTCACTCTCTCTCTTTTTCTCTCTCTCTTTCAATGTTCGTCTTGTTGTGTCTTGCGAAGCTTTCGACCATTGTATTGGTCATAGAGTTCGGCCAGGCTGCTATTTGGTGCTGGTGTTAGTTTGGGAAGCGTCGTGCATGTAGAATGACCACTGAGAGACAAGACACCGAACACTCTCTGCAGAGAGTATCAGACCAGCAGAGTAAATCTTTCATGCAATAAAGCTTAAGCGTTGCAGACTGAGAAGCAGAAAAAGTAAATGTTTTGACCAAGGGGAGATACTAGGGGCAATAGATAGAAGGAGAGAACGGACGATGAACAAGACTTTTTTTCGTTTTTCATGTTCTCTCCGTTCTTGTTGTGGACCAAGAGAGTCAAGCTTAAAGCTAGGGGACTATTCTGGTCCCAGGCTGTCATCTGTTCTCTTTCTTTCTCTCTCTCCCTCTTTTTCTCATTCTATCTCTTTCTCTCGTAAGCTTATCTAACCCTTTCTCACTCAATCTCTTGTTCTTCTTCTGGCCAGCTAACAACTACTGCCGCATAACGGATGGACGGACAGCACACACAGCCACGACAGACTGAGTAGAGACTTTGGGAGTGTAGGAGGGCCCGAACGCAGTATCAGAGAAAATGTTCGGACATGAGTGTGCAGACTGGAAAGCGACAAAAGATCACTCAAAAGCAGAGGGTAGTAGATAGCTTGGCCGTACCTAGCACGGTTCTTTCTTCTCTCTTTCTTGTTTAGCCCGTCCTGAGAGTCAAGCAACCCTCTCGCTTCAGGAAGACCCTATCTTTTTTCCCTCTCTTCCTCGCTCCCTCTCTCATATTCTCTTCTCCTTACACAACTCTCTCTCTATCATGTTGAGTAAGTTTTCTACTACTAAGCATTGACACATCAAAGCTTGTTAATGAGTTAACACTACATGATTGGAACCACGAGCAGAAAAGGAACGCTGATCAAAATAAATAAAGTTAACAGGGGCATGAAGAAAGGCTGTGTTCTATATCGGCTGATGAACGCAATGACATTACTCCTTTCCACGCTAGATTACTTTTCTCTTCAATTATACCTTCCCAACACCTCTTCTAATCAATGGTAGACTTCAAACAGTCAGTTGAAACGGAATGATCTTGTTAATAGCTTAGAACATGTTTATGAAAAACTGACCGACTTGACAGTTTTTTTTTCGTTTGCATATGACTCGTTAAATCCGAAAACGGATAATAGTTTGTATGGATGGTGCAGAGACAAATGACCGCAGAAATACACAACGACTACAATAATCAGACGATTTTGACCCAGATGGTAGCCAGCACGATCCTGATTTCGGGCCAGTCAGTCCCATCTCGTGCCTCGGCCTAATCTCGGTCGAAAATTTCACGTTTGAATATGTAAATAAGTAAAGAGATATAGATAAATAAGGTAATTTGTGAACGTAAAAGAGAGTAAAAGACAAAAAATGATGAAAGATGGAAAGGAAGAACAACTTCATTTCACTGTTATCAGAGATGAAATTGTCTGTGTGAGTGGACACACAACGATTTTCATATCAAAAAGTTGTTTTTGAGAGGCATTTCTCAAACAATTATTACTTGAGAACGTAGCTCCTGAAATAGTTTGTGATAGATTTGACAATTCATGTCAAAAGCATAAATTAGTTTCCGTGCCATCTTACTCTTTTAACTCCGCCCTAATTATTCTTTGCCCTCCCTCTTTTCACTCCCTCTATATTGATATCTCTTTTTTAACACTTCACAAAGAGAAAGGGAGAAAGGGGAGTGATAATAGGAGAGGTGAACAACAGAATGAGAAGCTCAGAATGTCAGATGAAAAAAAAGGAAAAATAAGCCGAGAGTATCCACTCAAATCTCCAAGTCGTCATAATTCGTGTTGTTAAGCACTCTACGTGTTCTCTCTTCTTTCATATCTAACAAAGTGCAGATGTCCTAGGCGGGGCGGTACCAGGAGGAGGAGGAGCCGCAACGAACGGGAAGAAACGGACGAAGGCCTTTGAGCCGCCTGGTGCTGGTTGGCGAATGCCAAATTAGAGCTTAATTCGGGTGAGTGGACATAAAGATAAAAAAGACGTTGGAATGAAATGAGAATATGTGTTAAGAGAGAGAGAGAGAGGGAGAGTAACAGAGACAGAGTGAGTGAGATAGAGAGTAAGGAGCAGAGGAAGCGGCTAAACAGGTATCAGTTTGGTCAGCTGGCATACATATCCTAATCTATAAATATGAACAAATTCAAATAGCTATCAAACAACATTTCTATCTTCTATGAGAAAGTTTCTCAATATCAGTCGGAGAGTTTGTGTGTTGAAAGATATAATCTTTTGCAATCATGCTAATTCACGTAAACACGTGAACAGCGAAACTCATTTAATCCATCGGAGATGTGTGAAACGGTTGTGCAAAGTTTTCATTCTATCAGCATATATCATTTCTTTCAGATTAAAGATTGGACACCTCTCATAATACTCATTTGAAGCAGATGAAAGCTTTTTCCAAATGTACTTATGAGTTGTCGATGTAGAACAGCCTTGGTTCATGGCACTAGCTGCCACATTGACGTTCCGAATGTAGTCTTATCAGCTGAACAAAGAAAAAGTAAAAGTTCATTTTTCCAATTTTTCTATTCAAAACTGGGAGAAGTGGAAGACGAAATGCAACATCAACCTTACATCTGAGTTGTGTGAAGACGATGAGCAAAAAAGGACTGCAAAGAACGCGACAGAATGGTCATTTTCAAATTTTCTGACAAAAAAATATGGAAAAAGATTGCAAGTGGATTCTCTTGAAGAAAAACCTCAGAACACGGTCAACGCTTTCCTTTTGTGAAACAATGCGAGGGTTACAAGAAAAAATAGGAGGAAAGCAAAAACGATAGCATTCGTTTTTTAAAAATATGGTTGTTCCTTCGAAGTTTATCGCAAATATATGAAATGAAGGATCTTGGTCTATCCTCGTATTTTAGTAATCTGGAAAAAACAATTACAAAGGATTGCGTGATTCACCACAAACCAACATAAATAATATGAAGAAAGTAAGCCAGTGGCCCAAGTAGTATAGTGGTTAGTACTCCACGTTGTGGCCGTGGCGACACAGGTTCGATTCCTGTCTTGGGCAACTCCTTTTGCATTTCAGTTTTGAAAGTTTTTTTTGATAAATTATATTGTACAACGAGGAAACTGTAAAGTGAACTCCAATTTTGGTTCCAGGATATCTTTAAAACATGTAGGAAGCCACTTGGATTGATAAACAGTGTGAAAGTGATGTGGTTTTTGATAAAACGTTTTATCTTTGTTTTCTATGAGAATCAATTTATTACAGTGGTAAATGGTGACGAATTGATACGGTTCCTTGTATCCTGGCCTGGAGATTGGAATATTCTTTGCATTTATTCTCACATCACTGTTACAAGATAAGATTTCTATTGGTAATTATCAATGACAGATAAAAGATAAAGAGCCGTTTATAAGACAATCCACCACCTACTGCTCTACCTTCCGTTGATAACTCATCGTTTCATAATCAGAACCTTCATTCAAAGTTATTTTTAAGGCAATGAACAAGCTTCTCTTCGCTGCCTTGGCAGTTTCTGTCTCTAGTGTTCCAGTCCTTCTTGAGAAAGGACAGATTGAAGCTGCTGTATGTTTCTCTTTCTTCAATATTTTCTCACATTATACTCTTCTAGACTCTTGGTTCTGCCGTTGATTTTGCTCAAGCTTTGAACACATCATCATTCAGTTGCTTGTTCAACTCTGGATTCCGTGTAGTTTTTATTAGGTAAGTGTTTAACTTGAAAAATTCTAACAAGTTCTTGACTTCCAGAGGATACAACCCAAGTGGACTTGGATCTTTCGATGGTAATGCCATCACTAACATCCGTAATGCTTACTCCAGTAAGAATGGTAATAGATAACGCGACATCATCTAAGCTTATTTCAGTTGGAGTCGGAACTGAAGTTTTCATGACCCCTGCCCCAGCTTCTTCTAAGACTGGTACCACTCAATTCAATGAATTGTACACAGCTCTGAATAATAATGGAATCAACATTCGTTTCATTTGGATCCAAGTAAGTATATCCTCATCACAGACATTTTCTTAACAAGAGAAAATCTATAGGTTACTTCCCCTGTCAATTGGAACTCCAACTACTCCACCAACTTGAAACTCATTGATGCTATCAGAAACGCTGCTAGAGTATTTGCTAACAATCGTCTCCATTTCTCAAATAATAACATTTAAGGCCAAAGGAGTTGGAATCGGCTTCTACACCAATCAATATGACTGGAGCCAAATCACCAATGGCTACACTGGATATTCTAAGAATGGAGACCAGCTCTGGTACTGGAGAAATACTGGAGGAGGAACTGCTGGAGCTAGCCCCCCAAGTTTCGTTGATTACTATGCTTTCGGTGGATGGACAACCCCATCTGTCAAGCAGTTCGCTCAAACTGTTAACGTGTGTGGAATATGGATGAACAAGTTAGATATAAAAGAAACATTTCTCATCAAACAAATTCTATTACAGAGATATATACAGTATGTCCACCAGCGCTGCTGCTGCTGCTGCTGCTCGAGTTCAAAAGTCTGAAGGTCCAGTTGTAGGAGGAAACTTATAAATTTGAATAATTGAATATAAACAACAAAAAAAGATAAAAGATATTTGAATTCATGTTAACCGTTCTTGTCTGCAACACCAAACGTATTGCTTCAAACAACAAGTTAGAAGAGAAGAGAAGAGAGAGCATAAGGTCTCTATGAAAACACATCATTGATTGAATCTCTTTGCTATAAATAATTTTATTTTAATATACATATATAAAATAATAATTAATGTTTTCCATCACATATCATGAGCTTAGCTCCAAAACATTCTCAAAAAATCCAAAAACAGCAGACTTAACGTCTTCGGCGACGGCAGCATTGATTGTTTCCGCAGCGGAAGAAGCTATCAGGACAATCGCAGTTTCCGTTTTTAGAGCTACAGATCTCAACCTGAATGCAACAATTGAATAGGAAAAACCAGAAAGATCAAAGAATGACCTGCAATGGACAATTGTTCTCACAAGCTTTCTGACACACAGGCACACATTGCGATTCATTCGTTTGTTGAACGCATTGTTGAGTGCATTGCTGAGAACAAGCTGGAGCGCATGTCACTGTTTCCTTAAACAATTTTCTCAGTTATATCGTTCTATGCTTTTGAAGAAAAAAAATTCTTCGAATTCTCACCTGCATAGGTTCTTCCAAGACTATTTCGAGTCTGATGGGTTGGTTGGAGGAGCATGAAGGGCAAACTGGAGATTCACAAGTTGAAACACACGATTCTTGGCAAGCTGCTGTGCATTTGCTTTGAGGTTGACTATGCTGTTCGCATGATTGCTGACAGGCTTGTTCACAAGCTGGCATACATTGTTGGTCAACCTATCAAAACTTATCAATAAGACTTTTTATCTTTCTTCGAAAACTGACATGAGGAACTACTATCTCAAACTGATAGTTCTGCGTACATTGAGGTTCGCAAGCAGGTTGACATGCTGCTGCACATGTTTGTTCATTTCCGTTGGGCTGTTGCGCAAGTGGAATGGTGACCTACAATGAGAGAGATGACGCTTCGGAGAACTGATCGTTTTATCTATAGAGATATTTGTTATATCCCTTTTATGGGGGTATAGCTCAGTGGTAGAGCATTCGACTGCAGATCGAGAGGTCCGTGGTTCAACTCCGCGTGCCCCCTAACTTTTCAATTTTTTAAGAAAAAAGTGAGCTTTTTGTTTATTTGTGGTGTGTACTTACTTCTACTGTGAACTGCTGAACGCATTGTGGTTCACAGGTCGGTTGACATGCTTGAATGCATTGTTGTGGTGTCTGCTGTGGTGTCTGCTGTGGTGGATTAATTGGAAGTGAAACCGAGAATGTGCTCTTCAAACCAAACAGTCTTTGATGAAAGTTTTCGTAAAATTACCGTGTATTGTTGGACACATTGAGGCTCACAAGCAGGCTGGCAAATAGGTTGACACTGGTTCTGTTGAATAGGAACATGAATAGGCTCTTGCGCTTGCTTCTGCACGCATTGAGGCTCGCAAGCAGGTTGACATGTCGCTGGACAATGCTGAACAGTAACCTGGAAATATTAATCTTATTCACATTGAATTTCTTCTCTTTTGTACTTGATAAACAGCAGCTTGTTGCTCAACACATTGAGGAAGACAGGCTGGCTGGCAAGCTGGTACACATGAAGCTTGCGGTGTTGGCGATTGAGTTGGGAGATATGACTGGACACAAGACGGTTGACAAGCAGGTTGGCATTGTGAGACGCAGACTTTCGGAGGAGAAGCTGTCGTTGTGGTTATTGTTTGTTCGAGCATCATAACTATATGGACACAGGTTGGTGTACATGATGGCATACATTGAGGAGCACATTGCGGAGCAGCATGTTGCTTTACAGGCAATTCAATCGTGAAAGTTTGAGTTGCTTGATTTTCGACACATTGTGGAAGGCAAGCTGGCTGACAAGCTGGGATACAAGAGGCGGGAGCTGCTGTAGTTGTTCGGACATCAATATAGGAGATTTGAATGTTGAGGTTTGCATTCTGTATACATTGTGGCTCACAAGCTGGAAGACATTGTGGAACACATTGAACGGGTGGTAATGGGAGAGGTGTTGTTGTTGTTGTCGGCTGTATACACTGAGGAAGACAGAGAGGCATACAAACAGGCGTACATAGAATTGGGATCGGCGTAGTTGTAGTTGTTGTAGTAGTTTGAATGCACATTGGCTCACAAGCTGGCATACAAGCTGGCTGACACTGTTTCTGAGGCTGTTGCTGTGGAGGTAGATAAGGTTGAATACTGATCTGGTACTGTTGGACGCAAGAGGTGGTGCATTCTGGCTGACAAGCTGGAACGCATTGTTGTTGCTGTTTCTGCTCTTGGATTTGGAATTTGATTTGAAGCTCAATGCACGATTGGGAACATTGAGGTTGGCAAGCTGGCGTGCAGAGTAAAGGAGCCTTTGTTGTCGTTGTGGTAGTCAGCACGGGCTGAGTGCATTGAGGAAGACATAAAGGCATACAAGATGGTACACATCTAACTGGAGTAGGTGTAGTAGTGGTCGTTGTGGCTTGAACACACATCGGTTCACAGGCTGGCATGCAAGCGGGTTGACATTGTTTCTGAGCTTGCTGCTGAACAATCTGAGAAATAAAGATCATAGAGAGTTATAAAGTAATTGAAAGTACCTTGAAGCTTGTCTGAATGGATGACTGACTACTAGCCTGAATACAACTTGGTTCGCAGCTTTCTCTACATTGAGTCAAACAAACAGTTGGATTGTTTTGAACTACGCAAGACTTCTGACACTTGTCTTTACAGACCGAACCACATTTGGATGGGTTAGTCTGTTGTTCTACGAAAACGCGGATTGGCTGGGCGTTTTGGCCAATATTTGACCGCTGTGTGCATGTTTGTCTACAGGTAAATTTACAAGTTGCTTGGCAAGCTGAACTCGGCTGATTAGCTTGAACACAAGATTGAACACAGGTCTTTTGACATGAGGGTTGGCAAACTATAGCTTGAGCTTGAGGTGCACATGAACAAGAGTTTGCAGATGGACCATTGGCTCCAGAACATTGGCATTTTTGAGTTCCTCCGACTGCCTGACATAAACATTTACTTTGAACAATCTGTGCACATGGACATTGGCGTTTCGCTCGAGTTATCAAACTCTGAAAAATGAAAAGAATAAACGAATACAATACAGATGTGATAGATCGGCTTTGAGTGAAATATGAAAGCAAAATGGCTATAAGAGATATAAGCTTACCTGTTCGGTTAAGGTGAATGCGATCGAGAGGGCCGAGAGCAGAAGAAGCAACTTCATGTCTTTGGAGATGACGAATCGCTCTGTCTCATGGCTTCCGTCCAGGATCTTTTATACCCCCCGCATAACCGGTCTCTCCGACAGATTCTACAGTCTTCCGGTCAGCCTTCTTTGCCCCAAGGTGCATCATCACACTTCTTCTAAGCTCATTTTCCTTTTTTGAAAATTATCTATCTTGTTTATTAAAAAAAGGAAAAGATGGAACTGTTTGCTTTTCTGTTCTTGCCGTTCCATCTAACATAAACTGTTTGGTCGTAGAAGACTATGTGAGACAAACTAACACATAAATATATATTTCAAGAAACTTCACGCTTAAGCTGCTTGTTTAGTTGCTTAATCTGCTGACCGAACAGCAACCCTCTTGCCTTTCGTCCGGTATTGCATCTGAGCTGTTTGAAACAACTTGACAAATGACTTGCACTCGTCTTCAACCATTGTATTTTTCATTTTACAAATCAAAAATCAGACACATTCACAGTCTGTGAATTAGAGCATTGCATTCTGAATGATCTTCTCTGTTTGTGAGATGACACATGTAAAGATACAAAAGATTTTTAATTTTAATACTTCAACACCTTTCATATAGAATGACAGAGTACTTTTCAAAAATAAAAACCATAATGAATTAATTCTCACATCGATACTTTCGCATAGCAAATATCATCTTCATATTTTCAGCAAACAATTCGTCTTTGCGCTTTGCGTTTTAACGACCAGTATCGTTTTGATCCGATTCACAAAAAAAACCTGTGTGATTTTGAAGCCCTTTTTAGTTGCAAAAAGTAGTCGTAGGTCAACAATGAAGCTCGAGAGTTCCCAACGATGATGAGCAGAAACAAGAAGACAATACATGCAACATGTACATCTCAACAGGGCATACCGTCTCAAAAGAAAGCCACAACAGCAAATGAAGAACCTGAAACAATAAAGAAAGGTTTATGAACTGTTATACATGATATATGAACTATGATCCTTTTGAATTACATATGGTGTCAACAATAACTCACTGCTGTGCTTCATCCTTCAATGTTCTCACATGTCACTAGATTCACTCTCAAACGTTTGAATCAACTTATATGGAACTGAGAAACACTAATGCTTGTACTTTGGAAGTTGTTAACTGATTATTCAAACAGTATTGATGTTGGTGGACAATCAAGATAATCCATTTGATGAATCATTTCCTAGAAAGCTGTGAAACTAGTCGATATCCTGATTGTTTCACTCATATCTCAGCCTGTTTCTTTCATTTTTTCGG